CTCCCTGGCGCCTTGTGGTTCAGGGCTGGCTGCCGTCTGTCCCGCCAGGGGGACGCTGCATTCCCCATAAACCTCAAAGGCCCACACTTCCTCATTTCTGATAAATAATTCATTGTCTTCCCTTTGCTTCCTGGGCTTGTTGGAAGTAAATGTCAGGGAGATTGACTGTCGGGCCCAGCCGTGTTAGAGTTTCAGGATTTGCCTAAATTCTCGAGTTGGCGTGACTGGGTTGAGCTGCACAGTGAGGGTGCTGGCTTTATCCCTGGTCTCTGGCATCATGGAATGTGTATTACGCCCCTAATTCCATACTGACTTCCTTGGTGTGTGAGAACCTTTAAAATGAAGAAATCAAGGGGAGGGTGCCGTGAGGAGCGAGAGCAGGTGCACCCCGAGGAACCCCATGATCCAGCAGTGGCCCGGTTGGGAAGGTAATGGTTGCTCCAGACAGATAGTCCAAGTCAGAGTTTTAATGACTATGGCCACAGTAATAAGCACTTGCCACTTACCGACCACCTTCTAAGTACTATGCTCAGCATTTTAATGCACGGCTTTTATTTGTCCGTGACTATAACACACAGACAGTTTTGTGTTTATTTTTCATAGCAGAAACGGCAGCTTGGGGGGGATTTAACTTGGGGAGGCCCGTCTCCCCGCTGGGATTCTCTGTGCTGCAGCACTGGTTCCTTTCAGTGTCCAGAGCCGACCTGAGGGCTCCGTGACCCGGCGGAGAGAGCTGGGCAGGGAGAAGGGAAACCCGGGTCCTGGCTCTGTGAGCTCAGCAGCAGATTCCAGAAAATGTGCCAAGACCCTTGAACCTTGAAGTCCCTTATTTCTCTTCCTGTTGAGGAAATTACATTTCTATATCCATCTCCGAGGGTTTTTATGGGGGTAAAATGAGATAAGGACTCGGAAAAGGCCTTGCACACTTGAGTGATGTGCAAATAAAGAGCTTACGTTATTAGATTTTTAGTAACGTGGAGCTGTTTTTATCACAGGGCTCATGTTGTCTTTTGATTGAATTTAATGACCTTTGGCTGATTTCTTCCTGTCCCTTGCTAGTTTTGGCCTTGGATCTGCAAGGATGATTCTCTGCTTGTGAGGATGTGTCCCCAAACTGTGGCGTTGGGGCAGGATTGAAAGGATGTGTGGTGGCTCGCCTCTTTTTTCCTTTTGGAAACTGGACACAGGAAATGGTTTCTTTTCCTGCCATCAAACTATGCGTATTGACTTCTTAAAGTGTCTCCTACATCTCCAGCTCTGATTGCGACCCTTGGGCTCTGGGAATTCAGCCTTCGGATGTGTAACAGGTGGGGAGACAGGGAAGCACGCAGGCCGGAGGCTCTGTCAGCGGCGTGTATGCCACATGTGCCTCCCACTGTCCATGCGAGAGCGGCTGGGATGGCCGCCTGGAGGAGGACCTGAGGGTTTGAGTGGGGGGCTTGGGGTCTGACTGGGGTGCAGGAGGTGGGCGCGGATGGGGGAAGCAGTACAGGTACGTACAAGGAGACCAAGATTATCGGTGCAAATTTAGGGAAGTCTAGAACATTGCTGAGCACTTGAGAGAGAGCCCCCCCGCTCTGTGTGCATGCGTGCACGTGTTGGGCCATGTGAGGACCTAGAGACCTCAGAGGTCTGAGTGTTGTGAACAATGGAATGTTCTAGAGCAAGGGCTCAGCAGTGAGATAAGGATTGCAGGCAGAGGAGGAGGGGAGCAGGAGGCTGTGGTCCGGGGGCCGTGTGTAGGGGTCTAGGTGACAAAGAACAGAGAGGGGGTGTAGTGGGCAAATGTCTTTAGGACAAACCACAGAGCACCCAGACTGGCCGAAGGAGAGAGTTCATGGAGGAGGAAGGGGAGCGGAAGGTAAGCCCATCCCGGGGTTTTGATTACGAGGTTGCAGGAGTTCCCTTGCCCACTTCCACAGATCTCAGCAGTTCTGTAAAATGTTTGTAGTTGACAGCAGCAACTCGTTTTCAGTGCTTTTAAATTATTCCCGATTCATTTATGAATATTTCATTTTTCGCTAACTAATTGGTCTTGAGCAGCTGCATTATGGATGTAGCAAGATGTAAGATTAGTTTTGTCACCGTCGTGTTAGAGGATTTCCAAAGCTTTCAGGGCTGATTTTGTGTTTCTTCCTTGACAGCCGGCTTGTGTGCGCTGCTCATCGGTTTAGCTCTCGGAGATGTGCTGGTACCGCTGTGCAGGACAGCAGCTCTGCTGCCGGGGGCACCAGGTGGTCAGGACGAGGGCTCAGCCTGCAGGGAGTCCCCCATCTGGGGGGAGAGACGCGGATGGGGCAGAGCCTTGCTCGCACCCTGTGCGCCATGGTTGCTGGCACGTGCTCGGGCGCATCTCTGAGGACAGGATGCCGGGTGCCCTGCCGCAGAGAGTGTGCTGAACCCCAGTTAGGGGCACAGTTGCCCACGAGACTGCTGACCCCGCCACAGGCTTGGGAGTCCCTCCAGGGCCACCATCGCTCTGACCAGCTAGCTGCGAATTCAGGGGACCCTGAGGACTCCCTCCAGTTCCAGAAGTGGCTTAGAATGGTTCACAGAACTTAGAAAAGCACCCTTACGAGTACCCTGTTAAATACCATGTGTAGGGAGAGATTCACGGGCCGAGTCTGGGACTGGGGGGCTTCTGGACGCGGAGCTGTCTGTCCTCCTCCTGCCCCCGTGGAGTCCTGGACGCTGTTGCCTTCTCCCTGCTGTATTATGTGACAGGACTTGAGTATTTCCAACCAGGGATGCTCGCCCAGCCTTCGGCGTCCATCTCGATGACCCACCAACCCCGTGGCTGGCCTGCAGTCCCTCGCTCCTCCCAGAGGTTCGGGGGAGCACCTCTGTTCTCCAGTTCCTCCCGAGCTCAGAACTGGTCTGACTTGTCACAGAGCCGAGGTGTAAGGCCTGTTGTTAGACTGTCAGCGGCCCCAGCCCCAGGCAGACGGGCAGTCCACCTGTCAGGCGGGACGTTCTGGGACCCAGAGGTCACCCCCAGCGGCAGAGGGCAGAGTGCCCGGGGTAAGGCTGCTCCTTCAAACGGCTACGTCGAAGGAGGAGCGCTGATGTGCATCTGGCAGCCGGCCAGGCCTTCGGGGAGGTTGGGCCCGGGCCGCGGACATGCACGACGGTCCCGCCACTCGCTCTGCTGCTATGCCGTTCATTGTCGCTTCGGGAATTTGCACAAGTACATGCTGGGGGGAAGATTAGCAAGGAGAGAAGTTTCCGTGGCTGTGAGGTAAACAGGTTGTCCTTCTTTCCTTGCCACCCACTCCAGCCTCCCGTACGTGGCAGTGGGCCTGTGTCCACACAGCTGTTGTTCTTCTCGGGAAAATCCATTGCGGACAGTGGGATCCAAGGGTCCCGCGCCCTTGTCCGTTTGATCTGGTCTCTCTGTCTGCCTTCCTGTTGCTAAGTACTTTCCCTCCCCTGCCCCCACCCCATCTCCAGCACGCCCCCGGACATAGCAGGGAGGCGGTCACGGTGCACTGTGCTGGCTGCCCTGGCCGAGGAGGGCTCAGGTTTGGGTCTCTTGCTCAGTGTTGAGCCACCCTTGGCACTGCAGCTCTGCAGAAGCTCTGCCCCCAGAAGCCCCCCCCCCCTTACTCCCCAGGTCTTCCCCATTCTGGTGCACGACCTCTCTGAGTTCTTGGGGACCCTGCGTCAAAGCAGACTCCTGTGTCCAGAGCCCACACTTGCCATGCCACTCTTTCCCTGCAGACTCTGCTCCAGAACCATCCTGCCCCCTCCCCTCTGGTCTCCCTGTCTGATGTGGGAGCACAAGGACCTACTTAAAGGGTCTTCATGGGGGTAGCAGTGGGCAGCGTGGGGGATGCCTACCTGTGCAGACTGGTGGCCTTAGAGCAGGGAGACGGGCTGAAGATCTCATTCTGTACTTTACCATGTTACCAGGATGCTGCTGGAGCCAGGACCCCCTCCTTTCCTCTGCAGCTCAGATTTGGATGACTGCTGAAATGCCATACCTTGGCAGATAGGCCACTAACAGTGCTGGTTTCCTGCTTGGCGTCTCTCAGGATACCTGTCAGGTCACATCACCTGGGACCGGCCACTCCCTTTTCACGCACCCAGCAGCACGATGCTTCCCGACCCCACTCACCCATCTTAATTCCCACTTTCATTCTGGAGATCAGTGTCTTAAAAATGAGGGCTAATTAAGAAGAAACACAAGTTGAAAAATGGTTTGAAACTTGTTCTGCAGCAGCTCTGAGCGTGCCATTTAACTCACTAGGTCGCTAGGAAACTCGAAAAATACGGCTGTTGTCTTTAGTCCTGTAATTGGTAGATTTAGATTGTAATTATTTTTTCTCTGTTTTATCAGAACAATTTGGCTGTAATAATTATGATGCCTTGAAATAATCTGAATAGTCGTGTAGCTCGTTAAGAGCATGAAAAGCTAAGCAGCCTTTGCAAATCCTTTGCACAGAAGTCCTTAAGCACATTCTGAGAACAGAGTGTTAATGGAGCTAGGGGTTCTTTAGAAGTCTGATTTGTGAGCCAGGGGGCTGCCGGTCACAGTTTAGAACCATCCCCGCTTTATAAGAGAAGATGTACACAGGTTCTCCTCAAACGATATTTTTAAAAATATTTATTTATTTATTCATGAGAGACGGGGGCGGGGGGTTGGAGGCAGAGACACAGGCAGAGGGAGAAGCAGGCCCCATGCAGGGAGCCCAACGTGGGACTCGATCCTGGGACTCCAGGACCACGCCCTGGGCCGAAGGCAGGCACTAAACCGCTGAGCCCCCGGGCTGCCCATATTTTTAAATCAGAATATAAGGAAATTTAGTGCATGCTAGTGTGTAGATGCAGAAACATTAGCACTAAAGATACTATTTGCAGCTTGTACTTTCTGGCACTACGTCAGACTCTTGTTTTTCATAAAACCCGAAACTGAACACATTCCCACATTCAGAGGTTGGGTGTGTGTCCTGCCCTGTGGCCACGTGTGACGACATTGTGCTCTCTTCTTTCCTTGGTAGAGTTTTTGGTCATGAAGAGGAAGAGAGGCAGGCCCAAGGGGTCCACGAAGAAGCCCAGCGCCGAGGAGGAGCTTGCGGAGAGCATCGTGGGTCCGAGCGAGGACAGTCCACCAGTCCCGGAGGAGGGGAGCAGTCTGGCCCCCGGCAGCTTGGAGTGCAGCAAGTGCTGCCGCAAGTTCTCCAACCCACGCCAGCTCAGAAAGCACATCTGCATCATCGTGCTGAACCTGGACGAGGAGGACGGAGAAGCAGGTACGGTCGCTGAGGGCCGAGCGCGTCCGTTTCCCCCACACATGTGAACGACGGACGGCAGTCTTTCCTGGGTCAGTTTTGACAGGGAAATCGAGCCCTTACACGCAAGTCTCACCTGTCTGGGAGAGTTCCTAGTTTTGGAACGGTCACCATGACAGTGAGTCATCTCTGAGTTGAAGGTGTCCTGCTTGAGTGGTGCCCACGGAGTGCAAGTCCTGGGGGTACTTGAGTGGGTGCACTGGGGTCTGCACAGAGGGTGAGACGTGGCATTTCCCTTGGTGAGCTGACATTCCGGGTGCGACAGCAGGGCTGCACATCACAGAATGTCAACAGGGAATAAATCCTCGGTGGGGAGACGGCATTCCGATGGGCAGCTGATGGGCAGTCGCGGGGAGCCTGCTGTTACGGGCCAGGTGGCACTGGGATGCTGAGGGAGGACATCTCAGAGGGTGGATGGGACCGTATGAGCACGAGGGCAGACATTAGGATGCTCAGCATCTCTGTGATGAAGCTTGATGACCAATGGAGGCCAAGGGCCTGAGTGTGGCGGCATCCTGGAAGCAGCTGAAGGGCATCGGTGCTTCCTCCACCCGTGTTCCTGGCGAGGCCTCCACTCGGAGCAGCTTCTGAAAGAGGCCGCAGTAGGTGTGACATCACTGTGTTAGAGCACGCCTCGTGGGCAGCCTTCTGGGGAAGTGAAGCACCACTGCCCTGGGTGGGGGGTACTGGGGAGACCCTCTACCTTGGGCTCCGCTGTCGTCTGGCTCTTGTGCCCACTTGGGAAGTCTTCAGACTGCCTGACCACTGAAGAAGTTCTTACAGTGTGTTGTGCTGTGCTAAGGATGTTACGTGGGAGACTACTCTGGTTAAAATGCTTCCGGCTTTGGAACACAGCTGCCTGGGTGGGAATCCCAGCTGCTTCAGCCCTTACCAGCTTCCTTCTGCCTCCATTTCCTCATCTGTAAAATGGCAATAAAACCCAGCACTCTCACAAATGGTTGCTTTGAGGACTAAATAAGGCAGGACTTAGAAAATGCTCAGAACAGTGCTTGCATAAGAAACGGGCTCAGCAAATGTTAGCTGTAACTTTCTTCCAACAGTACTGTTGTTCTCCTTCCTGTCCTGTAGAGAAGGATAGTTAGATCCTGGGAAATCAGGTCATTTGCCTGGCCAGGGTCCTTCAGTTAGCAAGGGCACCTAGCCTGTGGACCTCAGTTCTCAAGTCCTTTACTATAAACACCTCCCAGCAGTGAAGCAAGACTGTTGGTGTGCAAAATCCCAGCACAGATTGGAGGAATAATTGCATAACTCATCACCTGATGCTTACCCAACATCTCGGTTGGTGGCCATGGCTCATTGCCACCATCCGTGCAAACTATAGAGAACATGAAACGTCATTCTATCCTATGGAGAACTGCTCTCAGGGGGGACTATGTGAACCCCTTTCTAGGATGCATGGGCTAGTGCCAATACGAGCATTTAGACGAGGTAAGTCAGCGAGGAGGCAGCTGTCCCAGGGCAGAGCACGTGTCATCACCGTGTGAGACACTTGGCTGGGGAGTGCTCTGGCCTCAGAGCCCGATGCCCATGTGGCAAATAAGGATACTTTTACAAGTGAGATGGTTGAGGGAGGAAGGATTAGGACGGACCTTCCTGCCCCCGAAGGACTAATTTCTGGTGGATTTGTCACCCACTGGCCCTGGGTTATGGAGCTGTTCCCATGCCATGCATTACTCCCTCCCTCCTTTTCTTCCCACAAATGGTTAATGGTGGTTGCATTGTGTTTATTACTTTATCGCAGTATGGGTAACAGTGTTAGATTAGTTTCAGGTGTGCAACATAGGGATTCAGCAAACCCATACATGTCCGGGTACTCACCACTACCGCCCTCCCAAATCCCACCACCCACCTCCCCTCTGGTGACCATCAGTGTGTTCTCTAGAGCAAGGATCTACTTTTTCGTTTGTCTCTCTTTTTTTCCCCCTTTGTTTTGTTTTTTCCATTCCACACAGGAGTGAAATCATATGGTGTTTGTCTTTCTCTGTTTCACTCAGCACTCATTGTACCCTCTAGCTCCATCCACATCCCTGCAGATGGCAAGAGTTCATTCTTATTATGGCTGAGTAATATTCCAATGTGTGTATATAGACCACACCTCCTTTATCCATTCATCTGTTGGTGAACGATCGGGTTGATTCCATAGTTCGGCTCTTTTAGATAACGCTGCTGTAAGCATAAGCCTAGGCGTGCATGTATCCCTTTGAATTACTGTTTTTGTATTTTTGGGGGGTAAATACCCAGCAGTGTGATTGCTGGATCATAGAGTAGTTCTATTTTTAAATGTCTGAGGAACCTCCATGCTGTTTTCCAGAGCGGCTGCACCCGTTTGCATTCCCCATGGTGGTTGCGTTTTAATCAGAAGGGCCAGCTGTAGCCTTCAGAGCGGCTCTGTTTGTTCCTGCCTGCCTGAGAATCTGAATCTCTCTCATCATTCAGTGCTGTCTTCTTGAGGATCTGTTTTGTTTTTGTGCCTTCACATGATTCATCCTGTCAGACTCCTTCTGGGAGACTCCGGGGCTTTTTGTACAATTATGGCTGGAAATCAGGGATCTCTTTTGCAAAGCATTCCTGCTGCTTCTTCCTCCAGAGGTCAGACCTGGATCTAACTTGGATGCAGCCTGAGAAGTTCACTCAGATCTGTGGATGTTCTGCACTGCCCTCAGGGTTTTCTTCCAGAAACAAAGTTTTTCAGTGTCTCCCCTTCAGAGTAAAGTGCAAAGTCCTCTCAAGACCCTCAACACAAGGATCTTTCCCTGGAACCCTACGACATTACTTTTTCTGTGTCCTGTTGTTTGCAATTGATGAAATTTAAGCTATTTCCAATCTTCTGCTGTTGTAAATATTGCTTTAATAAATCTTTCTATATGCATATATACGTGTGTGTGTGTCTGTGTGTGTGCATGTGTATACACACCCACGTACATGTGGATTTGTAGACTTATAACTGTTATTTTTGTAGGAGAAATCCCTAGAAATATAACCCCTGGGTCAGAAAGTATATTACTATTGTCAACCCCCCCGCCCCCCGCCCTGCCCCGAAAGCTCACACCAGTTCAGATTCCAAAAGTGTCTGACGGTGCCTATTGGATATTGACTTTTTTTCTTCTTTTTTAATACCTGGGATGATATAGAAAATACTAAGAGGAAAGTAACAGTAATCCAGAAACTCACTGCCTAGGGGGATTGACTATTAAACCATATAAAAAAGAGAAGAAAGATCCTGCTTAGCTGTGTGTACACATACATTATTTAGAAATGGGGCCATGCATCATGTTCTGTGATTTTAACCACCCCCCATCCCCCCGCAATGTGGCCAATTGAAGTCTTCATGTCAGTTTTTTTTTATTGCACAAGCTGTTCCGTAGCTCTCTCTGGATACTCACTGTCTTACAGCTGTTAGGTCATTAAGTCACAGCAACCTTTAGAAGTAGGCACTGGTGTTATTCCCACTTTACAGAAGAGGAAACTGAGACACAGAGAGGTTCTAAAGCTTGCTTAGACCACACAGCTGTTAAGTGGCAGGCCCAGGTTCCAAACATGCCTCATTGCAGGGACTGTGCAATGCTTCCTGACCCCAAACGGTCAGTAAATGGAGATTTCTGTCATTTTTAAAGGCCACCCAGCATTTCACCATACACGCAGGCCATACATTTTCCTTCACTGGTTTCCAGTCTATTGACATTCAAGATTGGTCTTAATTTTTCTCCCTGATTAAAACAACAACCACAACAACAACACAGGTGACTGGTCTTAAGCATGCATTTTAATTTTATTATTATATTTGTACTCATGCTATTATTGCCTTAGGCAAATACCCAGTAATATAATTGTTGGGCCAATAGGGGCATATTTTACGTTCTGATGCACGCATGCACGTTGCCAAGCTTCTCTGCAGACAGCATCCGTTGCTTCCCTTCCCGACACCGGCTTGTACCCTCCTGGGCCCTCTTCACCCTGCGCATTGTCTGTCCTCACCCCTGCCCGTCTCCTAAGATGACAATTCCCTTTAGTTGTTTGTATTAGCGTCTATGTGGTCATGAGTAGACCTTCTGGTTATAGAGTTATTGGGGATTTGTGCTTTGTGTGTAATTTGGGGTGTTCCTCATCTGTGTCCTTTACTTACTTCCCTTGGGTTGCCGTCTGTGCAGAAAATATTCTCCACAGTTTGTCTTTTCATTTCTTTTTTTTTTTTTAATATTTATTTATTCAAGAGAGAGAAAGAGAGAGGCAGAGACAGGGAGAGGGAGAAGCAGGTTCACCGCACGGAGCCCAGTGCAGGATTCAATCTTGGACCCCGGGATCCAAAGGCAGACACTTAACCGCTGAGTCACCCAGGCATCCCTTGTCTTTCCATTTCATTTGTAGCCTTGCTTTGTTTTCTTTCATGCTTCACTGGAGTTTTAAATATCTGTACTGTCACTCCTGTCGAATGTTCCTTTTAGATTTCTTGCCCTTTTCATCATAGCTGAGAACACTTACCGATACCCCAGAATAATAAAATACATGCTTCTATCTATTCCTCTGTGATTTGTATGGTCTCTTTTATTACCCATGATTTGGATCCATCTGGAAATTGTGGTTTTGTGAAAGTCGTAAAGTAAGACAGTTCTTTCAGTAAACACGGGCAAAAGAATTATGTTAATAAATTGGGAGATAAACTATTTCAAATCCTGGGGTCCAGAGAAGAAATAATAAGGGTCTGGCTCAAAGTCTTTAAAAAAGTAAAACTTTGTATTTTGAAAATAATTGCAGATTCACAGGAAGTTGCAAAGATTGTAGAGAAATCTTGGTGCCCTTAAACCTGTTTTCCCCCAATGGTTGCATCGTATGGAGTTACGCAGCGTGTGCTCAGACTCAGATGCGGACCGTGATGTGTGTGTGCAGCTCCGTGTCATGTCACTCAGGGGGACCCATGCTCCTGCTGCAGAATCACCCCGCTC